GCACTACTTGCAACTCTGGCTTCACCCCTGGGTGTGCTGAGCCAGTAACCCAGTCTGTCTGAGCTGCATAATGAGCTATAAAGCCTTGAATAAAGAACTTTTCATCATCTCAACCCATGGTATGAACATCAACAGACCTTAAATGATAGCATTTCAGACAAGATTGGGTGTGTACAGCGATATATGTGCATCCATGTTTATAGCAGCACAATTTGTTATAGCTAAATCCTGGAAACAAAGCAGGTACCCATCAACTGAAAAATGGATAAGGAAGATGTGGTATTTTTACACAGTGGAGTATTATTGAGCTATAAAACAGGATTAATTTGAGTCTTTTGTTGGTAAATTTAACTGGAGAACATACTCAAGTGAAATAATTCAGACCCACATATGCAAACATCATATTGTCTCCTTGGTGTGAGAACCTGGAAGAGAAAAGTAGAATCTTAAGAATGCAATAGACACTGGTAAAAGGGAATGAATTTATTCAAAAAGAAAGAGTTACTGAGTTGAGGAGAAGGACAAGAGAGGAAGTAGGGGAAAGAGATTTATCCATATATGTAAGCAGGATGGTTTGGACAACTATACTGTGCATTTCTGTTGGTCTATAGAAAGAAGAAATTTATGTTTTAATTTGTTTTGTCTCCTTTTTTCAATTGTTTCTGCTTCTGTCTTCTTAATTTCTTATACATTTCTTCTTTTCTTTCTTCCAATTTTACATGCATATATTTGGTAATATGAATAACTATTTGGAAGACAGCATTATGTATTACAATAAATACTTTGAAATTCATATTATTTTGTTAAGTGAAAATCTGTATTACTTGTAATTTTTTCTTTTTAAATTCTAATTTGTATTATCTTTAGAAAATTAAAAAGGAAAGACATGATTAATGAAAAAAAAGATAGCATTTTAAAGACTATCTCCTTTAGCCACAAGGAAAGATAATATTGACAATCATACCCAGAATTTAATGGTAAGGTTGAAAGCAAATGAATTTAAAGCCTCAGCTATGATAGTTCTTTCATTCTAAATTCACTGTCTGATGCAAAGTAGTGGGACTTTGAGAACCTGAATGGGGATTCACATACATATCACCTCAGAGCTTGAACCCCAAATTACCCTCAACACTCCTAGTTGGAAGAATAGTCCTGTGTTTGGCTTAGTTGAGCAGCTTCCCTTTCCTTGGTAACAATGCAAAATGTTCACCTGAAGGTTATGTTTATCCTCTTCCAGAGTACCTTTTGCTTCTACAAGGAAATTTTAAAAGAATTCCTTTCTCATTTCATAGTTCCGCATCCTAGGCTGTCCAAGGCTGAAGGGCCCGGTGGGTGAAGGCCTTTTTGCTGAAGGGTGCTCTGTAGTGTCTCACAGTGGCAAAGGGAATCACACATTGAAAGTACATACACTAGAAAGAGTCAAATGTGCTTTCATAATAGCATTACTTTTGAGATAATTCATTAATCTGTTAATCCAGAAGTGAATTAATCCATCCAGGAGAGCAGAACTTTCATGACCTAATAATCTCTTAAAGGCTTTATCTGGTCCCATCTCTTATTTTTTTACACTGGGAATGAGATTTCATCTTGAGTTTTGGTGCAGACATTGAATAAATAGTGCCCATTAATTGGCTGTGTTTTCTTGGGTGTCTTCTAGATGTTTCCTTCATAGGACAGTAAGAGTCAAATGTGCTTTTATAATAGCATTACTCTTGAGATAATTCATTAATCTGTTAATCCACAAGGAGGAACTCTGGAGTTTTTGTGAAATGCAGTGGGTGGTTATTTTGTCTAAGACCCAGTATATTGCAGAACATGTTTTCAGGGTTCTATATTCTCTAGTATCAAAGGGCATGTCAAAGTTGCATAATAAGAAAGGCTAGATGGTACTATTTAGCACAGATGTAATTACTTTAATAATCAAGAATGCTGGGTGGTTACCAGAGAATCTTACCTGGCAGGGATTTGTAGTAATGACTGAGAATGATGACAAACACAGCTAGATTATTGCTTAATTTATATTGTCAGGAACAAAAACAAACTATCAGCCTGTGAGAAGACAGTTATCAGGTGCACTGATGAAAAATTAAGACTGTGAATCTGATCTGGATCTCTATTTCCAGAACCTACCAATTAGAATTTGGATTCCTTTGAGATAGAACCTCTACCAACAAATCAATGCTCACAGTAAATATTGCCCCATTCTGTATCCAGTGGAATTTGAAGTCATTTAGCAGGAAAAGTAGTAGGGAAAAACAGAACACAGTACTTTTCTTAAGATGTTGGAGAAGGTATTTGAACTCACATCAATCCCCAAAATAACATTAATTAAAGATCTTTTTAAGCCAGTGCAGTGGTGCACCCCTATAGTCCTGGAGGGAAGATTGGTTGAAACTGAGATATGGGGCTAGGGTGGGCAACAAATACGATAAGACCTCATCTCTTCAAAAAAATCTATCACTGATAATAGATACTTTAAAGAATTAATAGTTCAGAAGACACCATAGATAAATTTAACTTTACATTTATTGCATATGAAAAACAAAAACATGTTACTGGTTGGACCTACCAAATAGACTTTGTCTATTATACCCTTTAAAAATTTAATTATTTTAACTTACACAAAAATTGTACATATTAATGGAATACTATGTGATGTTTATTACATGTATATATTTTATAATCATGTTAAATTATATGATCTCTCATGTATCATTCCATGAATGAAAACATTCAAAATGCTTTTTCTTGCTTTTTCAGAGATACAGTGTTAATCACTATTTATGGTCCCTTGTGGTTCAATAATCTACCAGAACTTCTTACTTCTAAGTGCATTTTAGCTCCACTTATCATATTTTTCCCATTTCTTCTAATTGCTTCCCCACCCTGCAGCCTCTGATAACTTCTGTGATTTTCTGTGTGATCAACATTTTATATTCCACAAGTACGATTATATTATACTTGTCTTTCTATGCTTGACTTATTTCACTTCACATAATTATCTCTAGTTGCATCCCTATTTTTTCAAGTGACAGATTTCATTATACTTTATAACTAAGTTGCATTATATTATTTGTACTGATCCCTTTATCAGTTGATAGACACAGCTTATTTCTTTATCTTGGCTATTCTGAAGAGTGATACAGTGAACTTGAGTATGCTGATGTCTCTTTTGGCACACTGATCACATTTCTTTTGAATACAATCTCAGGTGTGCAATCCCTGAATGATATGGTACTTTTTGTGGAAGCCCCATACTCTTTCCACAGTGACAATATTTATTTACCTTACAACTAACGGGTTGTAAGCCTTCCTTTAACATCATGTATTGATTAGCACTTGTTATCTTTAATGTTTTTTATCATAGCCATTCACATTGGGGTGAATGATGTTTTGTTATAGTTTTGATTATTATTCCCCTGGTGACTAGAGATGCTGAACCGTGGAACAAAATGGGTGTTTGTGACTATGTGGTGCAAGGCTTTCTCCCAAACTCCCTATATCCTAACTGTGCTTTCAACTTGAGTCAAACGTTTATTGTGCAAATTCAAGAAATTTTAAGGTTTTTTTTTAAGGAGTTAGTACCCTATTTCATGAACAACTTTTATTTTCTTGCTTGGTGTCCTTAATTATTGTGTTTTCATTTGAATAATCTTAAAGACTCCCGTCGATTAAGCAGAACTATTGGCTAAAAAAAGTGAATTGTCAATCTTATGTTTGGGGCTAATTTCCTATTTGGCTCCTATCTACCTAAAAACCTTTGTAAGTCTTCTAGGTCTTTTACAAGGATTATTATTATCGAAGACTGCTTTTAGGGGTCTGGCATAGTGCATGATCTCTACTATTTGGTTTTTCATTAATTAAAATATTTTTGTATTATAAAATGTTTTGCTCTAGTGAGTTCTACTAAAACCAGACATTCTGTTTATTTAGTTTTTAATGTATTTGGTACAGGGTTTCACTACGCAGCTTGGATTTGTAGTAATCCTCCTATTTTCAGCCTCCCCAGAGCTGGAATTACAGGTCTTTGCCACCATGCCCAGACTTGTTCCCTGGCTCAGAGAGTCCCTGGGTGGGGCTGGCATGGCATGTGGTGCCTGGATCCAACCCAGTCCCTAAAATATATATTTCAAATTTGCTTTGAAAGTTGTCTGAGAAATGGGATTAGATAAAGTCAATTTACATCTCTATTTGGCAGCAATTGCTATTTTAGTTTAATTTTAAAATTTTTGGAAAACTTATGTTTTTCTTGTACTGCTTTACTAAATCATATTGTAATATATTTAACATATACCTCATGAATATATCTATTTTTTATGTTTAATAATCTACCTATCTGAACTAAAATTAGAGCTCCTGAATTTAGTTCATATTATCTAGATTATCTAGTCAGCTGAATTTTTAAAAATATTATATTTAAAAGAGAATACAAAAGAGTAAAAAAAAGAAATGATACAGAATTTCACTAAACAAAATAGCAGGAATTTGACAATGGTTGTTGTATTTCATAATGTTGTTTTCAAAGATCAGTTGATTTAGAAAAACAGTTTTTCAGAACAGCCATGGAGATTTTAAAACAATACAAATTAATTGTTATAGAAATTGTGGAAAAATAATTTCAAAGAGTACCACAAGTTAGAAAATGTAGGTGTATAAAGTCTTAATTTTTTCTTTATTTCTTTTATTTATCTGAAGAGAATTTTACCTTTATTCATGCATTTACCTTCTTCTCATTAAAAATTGATCCATGTCTCCAAGCTTATAAACATGTCACACTCTTAGTTTTCTTATATTCCTCTCACACGTGCTTGTCTTTGTACTTTTCTCTCAGCTGTTCTCCCTAGTAGGCTTTCTACAGTTAATTCTTCTGAAGACTTATTTTTGAAATTTCTATTACTGATAAAATTTATAGTAGATGTTTAGAGTTTGAGTATTTTTGGCATAAAATGAGGCCTTGAATTACATTGTTTGATAGTAAATGTGTTTTTGTGTTTTCATAGATGTGACTCTGAAAATCGCTATGTTGGTAATCCACTTAGAGGAACATGTTATTGTAAGTATTATATATTTTAACATTAAATAGTTTGTATTATTAGGTCCAGATATTAAAAATCATTTTGCATAACTATAGTTTTCATTAATATCCTGTAAGTTCTCATATCTTGTATATAATTCCATGCAAGCTACTAAGAAATGGGATACTTTCTTGTATTCTCTTACATGTATTTGGTGCATTTTCCTAATAGTAAAACAGCTATATAATTTGCTCTAACATGGAACAAAATAATGAATTTGAGTAGATTTAAGTAATTTTAATGTAATGTTTTTGCATTATGATTAACTTTTAAACCAATATATTTTTGATAGATTTCTTTTGCAGAGGCAGTTTTGGTCATTACCTAAAAACACCTCTAATTTTGTGTCTGTAGATACTTTTCATTTAATAATGATCATATGGTGGCTATCTGTTTAACTCACATAGCAGTCAACCTATATTCAAATAGTTGTTCTGATTTATTTTCCCACTAACAGTGTAGAAGTTTAAATTCCAGCATTTCTAAACACTGTCTTAGTTACTTTTCTTATTGCTTAGACAAAAAACTCAACAAACAAAGCTAAAGGAGAGAAGGCTTATTTAGTTCACAGTTTGTAGATATTTCAGCCCATAATTGGCTAGCTTCAAGGCTGGTGGCATGGCAGATGGATCACAGAGGAGAAACAGTTAATGGTACACTGAAGGTAGCAAAGCCAAAGCAGCAAGTGGTGGCCACTGTGTGTCAAGCCACCTCTGAAAAATCCCCACCTATGACTGCATGAGGCTTTGGGGAGACTAGACAAAGGCATAACATGATCTATAAGTTTTTTCTATGTTCTTTTTTATGTAAAATATTTACTAGTACATGTTTGCAAACCATAATGATTATATACCTCATAGGGAGTTGGTATATATACATTACACATCTGAGTTCTTTTTTATCAATTCCACATTTCATTCTTCCCCTTTGTTCATCTCTGTATTTTTTATTATTTCAATTTTTAGTACTTGTGTATAGTACAAAATGTTTAATTCTTTGTAGGAAGTTGGTACATGTACATAACACATCTTGATTTCTTTTCCATTCCCCATTCATTCCCCTCCCCTCTTTCCCAACCTTTAATCCCCCCCCCCTTGTGTGTATGTTAAACACATGTTTATGCAACGTAATGTTTGTATTCCTTGTAGGGAATTGTTATATGTACATAATACATCTTGACTTTTTATCCTCTTTGCCTTCCCTCCTTCCTTCCTCTATCCTCTGTCTTACTCTTTTTGGGTACATATTTGCAATATATGGTACTTACATTCCTTGGGCGGAGTTGACATATGTAGATACACATCTTAATTCCTTTTTCATCCTGTTTTGCTCCATTTTTTTTCTTTCTCTCACCCTCCATCTCTTGGGCCACTTTCTTTTCAGAAAGACCTATGTCCTTGTTTCCTATTATTTTTTATTTTGCTCTTTATTTAAGTATTGGTATTCTCATGTTAGAGGAACTATGTGACATTTAAGCTTATATGTCAGATTTATTTCACTTATGATTACAGTCTCAAGGTGGATCCATTTTCCCACAAATCACTCAAGGTTTATCTTCATTTATGGCAGAGAAGTACTCCACTGTGTGTATATAAATTGTATTTAACCATTTATCTCTTGTTGAACATATAGGCAGGTTCCAAGATTTAGCTATTATAAAATGTGCTGTTGTAAACATGGCTATATATATATCACATGTAAGCATGAGTATATATGATGTCTTTGATTGTGGAAATACCTACAAGGGAATAGCTGGGTCGAATGGAATTTTTAGTTTTAGTTTGTGTATGGAATTTTGTAGAACACTATTGATCAATCTGTTCATTTTGATGTCAACACTTTTATAATTAATGTGGTCTTGAAATCAGGTAGTCTTGAAACGTGGTAGCATTTATCCTACAAATTTAAACTTAATTTTCAAACTAATGTTGTCTATTCAGTTATTTTTTGGAAGACCAAAGAGTCTCATTGTGAATTTTTACAGAAGTGTATGCTATGATTTAGATTGAAATTATCTAAATTTCATAGATAAATTTGAAGAGTTGACATTTTAAATATAATGTATCTTTTGATCCATAGTCATTGTGTCTCTCTAAATTTTTTTGTAAATTATATTTTATGTCAGTGATATTTCATAGTTTTTATTATACATGGCACTGACTTTTACATAGCATTCCAACCTATATATTCAGCATTTTAATGCTGTGTTAATGTTATTATAATAATATTTCATTTCTGTTTGCGTCAGGCACTTATATTTCCAATTGATTTTTATGTTGATGTTACATTTATAGTACTTGTAAACCCACCTTTTATTCCTAATACCTTTTCAGTCAATTCTGTCACAGTTTCTATAGATAATATCTTCTAGAAATAGAATCTTGACTTTTTCTTTTCTAACTGAATACCTTTTCTATCTTTTTCTTGCCTTATTGCAATGGCTAGCACCTCTAGTAGGTGCTGTATTCAAATATTTATTCTTATCATCTCAACTTCTCTATTTTGAAAAAAATAATGATCTTTCACAATTAAATATGACATAAATTTTTTCTACCCGATGTCGTTTATTTGAGGAAATTTTCCTTTATGCTCACTGGTGAACATTATTATGAGGAATAGTTGTTTGTTTATTTATAGTTTTGCTTGAGCATCAATTTAAATGCCAATAAAGGATTTGTACTTTACTTGCTTAAATAGTGATTTTAATTTTTTAAGTTAATGAAAGATATAACCACACATGATTATATTTTTTGTCCATTAACAAATTGTGATTATCAGAATTATTCCTGGGGTTTGGTAATTAAGAGCAGATTGATGTTATGGGCACTCATTGGGTCTTTATGTAGATATGCCTTTTTATTTTACTTACAAAGAGTCTTGGGAGTATTACTATTTATTTTTAACTTTAGAAAAGCTCACGTATTAATTTCCATCCTGCATACACCATTAAAATTCACACTAGTAGTTTCATGCGTTAAATTTTTCTTCATAATCTTAATGCTTAACATTATTTGCCTTCGTAAAGTAGATGTTCTAGCATGTGTATTGTTTTAACTATGAGCTTTAATTTGCTTTCTTTTTTAAAACTTTATACATTTTTTTATTTGTACATGCTTGTAGTATATAGTGATTGATATCTTTAACGGAGCTCTCACATCTTAATTCTTTTCTGGACCCCTTTCCCTTCCCTCTCTCCCTCCCTCCAACATCTGCCTCTAGATCTTTATCCCTTTTGCAAAAATCTGTCTCCTTTTTCCTATTATCTGTCTTTTAATTTGCTTTTTTTACACTTTGAATTTCTCATATTAAAAAACCCAGATAATATTTAATATTTGTATGTCAGATTTATTTTAACTGTATATTTAACACTATAATCTCAAGATGTATCCATTTTTCTATAGCAAACTCACACTTCTTTCTGGCAATGTAGTACTCCATTGTATGTGAATAATATACTTTTGTTATCTATTCATCTATTGGTGGACATATAGGACACTTCTACAATATATCCTATATGCATTCTCCTGCTGTTAACATGGATGTGCATGGAATACTGCAACATGTTGTCCTTAACTCTTTAGTAAGATACTGTTATTGAACATCCTATAATACTCTGCCAAGAAGAAAAGAATATTTGACTTAAAATATCAATCTGACATGCTAAAACCCTGAATTAATACTTAATCAGATTTAGATTTGATTTGTATAAAATATTTAACTCTTTTTGAATATAGAAAAGCCACAAAATGTGTGCTAGTATTTGTTTTTATGCTCTTAGTAGATATTGATTTTCAGATTTTACATTAGAATTTATCACAAAGATATGATAATTTAGTTTCTTATTTGGACTACCTCTGTAAAAACAAATGTTTTCTTTTAAGTGATTTGGTTAGACATTGGTAGAATTTATATAAGAAAGTCAGGGGCCCGGGGAGATGGCTCAGTAGAATAAGCACTTACCTGACAAGTGCACGGTCCTGAGTTCAATCCCAGGTACTGGAGAGAGAGAGAGAGAGAGAGAGAGAGAGAGAGAGAGAGAGAGAGACAGAGAGTCAGGGTAGATTTTATAGTACTTCCTTTTTTAGAATTTTTATTTATTTGTGTGTGTGTGTGTGTGTGTGTGTGTGTGTGGCCAGCTCAGCCCACCAGGGGGCGGGGCTGGCTGGCATGTGGTGCTGGGGTATTGAACCGTGGTCCCTTTGCTTTGCTAAGCTTGTTCTAAGTAGGTGCTTTAGACCACTGAGCCATCTCACCAGCCTCAGTACTTCCTTTTATTACTATTTTTTCCTTTATTCTTTTAGATTTTTTGTATATTTCTCTTTATGTAAAATAAAGAATCATTTGTTGAATATCATTCAAAATGATGTAGGTTTTTTTGCATCATCATAAACCTAGATTCATAGGTATACAACATGTTTCAGCTCACATATTATTTTCATTATTGGTGCTCATGTTCAATTTCTTTGTCATTTAAATTACCTTTATTTTCTAGCTTTTCTCCATGTTTTTCAAATATCCTGATATTATTTTATCTGAACATGATTGTATGATTTTTTAAAAAATATATTAATTTGTTTTTTGGCTTTTTGAATCTTCAGCTTTTATGATTCCACAAAGTAGTAACTAGTTATAATTATGAACACATTATGTAATAAATTTTATTATAAAAATAAAATGTATTCATTTTTAAGCTTTTACATTTTGAAGACTGTTATAACTTTTGTTTTTTCTTTTCTTTTATTTGCTTTCTTTCTTTTCTTTTCTGTTTATTTGCTTGCTTTCTAGCTTTCCCTTCTCTTCTCTTCTCTTCTCTTCTCTTCTCTTCTCTTCTCTTCTCTTCTCTTCTCTTTGCGGTACCAGGGTTCAAACTTGGGACCTTGCACTTACCAGCCAATCTCATGCACTGATGCCACTGAGCTATCTCCCAACCCTATAACTTTTCTTATAGTTCACTACTGTCTGATATAAATATGAGAGA